CCATCCTTGTTCTATTAAAATACAATTTGTATATATTTTTTTTTTTTTAAATGAGTGTTCACTGCTTTTATTCTAGCGAAAATAAAAATAAAATTGACTCATTAAGGTAATTCAGATTGAAAGCCAAACAAAAAAATAAATATGAAAGCACTTTATGGTTACATATTTATGTACATATATGAATACTTATACTTTTATGTATTATATTGTTGTACATATTATGTTTTATTATTTTCAAAATAATGATATTTTTCAAAGCATTTTATACACAACCCTACATCACATTTTTTGCACATAGAAGGTGGATGTGATATGCAGTTAAGACCAGCGCAACGTCGCCTTTTTTTGCCGGGTACTTCGACTACAAAATGATTAGTCCATCAAAACGGCTGGCATACTTAACTTCATCACTAGCAACTCGGCGATAACTCTGAGGAGGCTTTGTAACTCCATAAGTTTTACAGTATCTGCTTATGCTTTCCCCACCTATACGATGCAAAAGCCAAGAATTTTGAACCGACACGTCTACTAGCCACGTGAAAATCGAGTATGTACCACCATTTCCTGCCGCGAGCACCAATCCTATATGCGTTTACGTTCTGATCCATTCGATCAGTTCCACCCATGAACTTGTTGTATTGCAAAATCGAATGTGGCAAAGGAACCATTACTCTCTTTTTTTCGATCAACCCATTTGGTCACTATTATACCAGTATCTTTCATTACTGCGCTTTCCACATGGCCCCGCTCCCGTTTTTTCAATTCCACTCTTGAATGGAGAGGGCATGATTTTGGAATAATATTTTCTCGAATGGTGCCTGTTCCGTGGTAACCCCGTTGTTTCAGTCCAACTAACGCCGAAGGAGTAGTGAATAAGTTGTCGAAGTGGAGGGAAAACTCTAGATGTTTGATGCTTTCAGGGAACTCATCCAACATGCAAAACAACGGCGTTATATTTTTGCCATATTTATGATATTCTGTCTTCATTCGAGGATTTGTTCCTTGATACATTTCAAAATTTATTAAATATCCAAGAGGGGTATTCAAACTCCACATTTTGTACCCGAATCGTAATGGTTTGCCTCTTATGAATTGTTTACAACCATGACGCCCATAATACTCTATCATCGATTCATCGTACAAAAGGTTCTTTTCGGTATGAAAATGCTTCTGGAAACGCTGTTTCAAGGCATCAGTATACGGTCGTAGCTTCCATATTTTTTCATTTATCTGCTGCTTTGCATTATCTATGAAATGTATGCTGCGGAAAATTGTGTCAAAACGTCTTCTACGCATAGCATTGCTAATCATCACATTCAGAAAATCTGTTTCATTTGACCAATACCCTCTTCTTACAGGTACAAAGGAATAACTAGTGACTAAGTATTCCAATGAAAACTCGCATTTTTTGTGCTGTTATTTTTGGATTAACCTGACCACAATATACGGCATAGTTATTGCTTTCCTTACAAAGTATTTCAATCAATTCGGCATAAAAAAATTTTTCAAATTGCCCATGGGGCGATAGGTTAACGCAGTCTAGATAGTTTGGTTCGGGAAAAATTGTTTGGTACCTTGTATCATTATCTTCCACCCACTGATTTATAGGTTCACTTCTTTGTTTAGTTCTTTTTGTTGGTCCTTGCTTCTTTTTCTTGTGTTTCGCCAATTTTTTCCGAGCAAAAGTCGTTTTTGAAGATGACGGTCGTTGACTCCGTTCTTTAGTAAAAGAGCGCGAGTAGTTTTTACAAATACCCTTATTTGGCGTTTTTTCCAAAACCAAACTGGAAATTGACGACTCAAATGTTGGTGTAGTGGCATCTAAGACATCTACATCCAAATTCTGGGAAGAATAGTTCATCACATCCCTAAGCGCTTCATCCAAGAAATCTTCATAAGCAGTGGTTGACAATGCCGACCCCGTATTCCGCATGATAACTTGGAAGAATTGCGTTAACTGTGCTTTAGGTAAATTATCTGGTCGCCCACTACCATCCTCATCGCCAGAATCTTCATCTGTTTCAACATTTTTGCCACTCGGAGGTTCAATAACTATTTTTTCAATAATCTCATCCCCATCATCATCTGACATCAATTCCTCAAGGATATTTGTTGCTTCCTCCTATGTCAAACAAGTATATCTAAACATAAAAACAACTTTTATGACACTCAAATACTATAAAAAATATCCTTGTAATATTTTAGTGTACCTATGCACATGGATATAAAAACCATGAGATAAGTTCGCTGTTGCCAATACCTAACATAACCACAATTAGCAAAACGTACTGGGGATGCCCACTGTTACATATATGTAACGCCTTCATTATCGGCTCTCCAGTCGGCACCACTCCCAGGAAATATTTTTTCCCACGTTTTTATAACTTACTTTGCATATTTATAAATAACTTTTTATAAAAAATATTCTTCTAAACAGACTTTTAAATATATTAATATTTATTTTTACCTTCGACGTGGCGTCATATCGCCGCTTCTATCACTTCTAAAAAACTTCACTTCGCGCACAAGTAACTGCGTTGATACTGAAAAGACAACTGACTTAATTTTCAAACTGAATCGCTTGCAGTGCTGTATTCTAAGAAATGGTAGACAAAAATTCTGATTCGAAGAAGTATGCTGCACTCAGCCAGCGCTTAAAGTTTGAATGCGCTGCGTTACACATATGTAACAGTGGGCACTATTGGGTTAAACATAAACAATTCATGGCGTTAACATGCTCACTATCGTATAAATTGATGTGTGAGCCCATGTGTTTTAAAACAAAAGTAAATAATAGAATAAATAGGCACATAACATCTTGCATCAGATTTTCCCACATGAGGATATACATACATATATGGTTGATACTAGGGCTCCAATATTTTAAATCTGCGTTTTTTGTTTTGATCTGTACGTCATACATTTTCAATTACTAGGAAGCTTCAGTACATATTCGAAAATACGTTTAATCCCATAAAAATGTGCAATATGGAATTGGATATCAAAAGATTGAAAATGTGAAAGATAATTAAAATCGCCTTTCCGTTTGCAATAATCTTTTAAAAACTCGTGAAAAATGGTCGTTGAAAATTTTACCGCTTAGTATTCGGATTAAGGCTTCCAAAGTTTTATTTTTCACAACTCTTAAAAAAATAATTGCAAAGTTTTTATTTTTCCTTCTCATTTTTCTCTCATTTGATATCCACGTCCATATTATATACACTTCCGTGGTTTTAAGTATTTTCGAATACGGAAGTTTTGCAATCATATAGAAAGGTACATATATCATTCTGACGAATACTAAAAACGCGAATTTAAAACATTAAATCAGATACTAGAATCCGCCATATGTTGATTTTATCATGTGTGATAAATATTTCAGTCTTCTGTCATACTAAATTTATTTACAAAACTTATGTCAAGATGTAACCCGGGTAGCAGTACAACAAGTAAATGGAATGTTTATTAATAAATTATATGATACAGAGTTAAGTATTCAATTCGATTGTCCGGTTATTGCCCCGTTCCGCCTGGCTGTTCGTACATGACTGACTGCTCGCTCGCTCTCCCCATTCTCACTTTACACTTCTTTATACTTCATCCTTAGCTCCTCCATAGCAATTCGCTCAATGTCTTTTCGGGCTAATATTTCCACCAGTGTTGCCGCGCCGTCTCAAGAAAATGTATCACTGACCAAGCCAAAAATATATCCAAATGTATCCAATTTTCTTTTTTTACATATACATCTCATAATTTGTAAGAAAACCAAACATTTTCATGAAAAATACATAATTTAATCCATCCTAAGGACTTGGAATACATGTACATAAAATCAAACATTTGTAATTTCAATTTATAAAGTACATTTTTTGTGCATAAGTATTTTGCAAAGCAAGTATAATAAATAGCAAGTACACTCTAAAAAGAGCATGTAAAACTACTACTGAAAAGTATCTATTTTTCAACAAGAATCTGTATACGTATGAGATGTTCAGTATTTGATTTTGAACTTGAGATCTTTAAAATATACACATAAATACACATATATAGAATGTTTAAAATTGCAAAAATTTTCAAACTACAAATACATTTCCTACTAATAATAAACATTACTTTATTTTAAACATTTCATGTGTAATTTTGCTCTTTGCGAAAAATTTGGTATGAAAAAGTAAACAGGCAATGATTAATTTTATTACACGGCGTGCAAATTTGCACACATTAAAAGAGGAAACTGGTTACCTCTCTTAATATGCGCAAATAAACAAAATTTTTTTAGAGTGTATTTAAAGTCTTTTCAGTAAAATTCATACAAGTTTCCTTAAATAAATCAAATTTAGTTTTTTAAGCTACATTGAAATCTTCTTTCTTTTTAAATTAACAAATGAAAATATGTGATATGAAAGAGATTACTACAGAAAGAGTATAATTTACTTTATATATATCGTCGTTTAAAGTACAAAACCGTGTATCGTCATTCTGCAAAACCGCGTAACTGACATTTGCTACCAAAAATTGGATTTGCTTACACAAGCTCTTGGCTCAATCCTGATCCATTCGTCCTGAAATATACTAGCCAGAAATGCGATTGCTTTATAAAAAAGAGAACCATTTTGAAATATAAGTGTTTTTACTCTCTAGAAAATAATTTATGCAACGTCACATACGCGGTTTTGCATTATCTTGATACGCGGTTTTGCATTTTGTTGATACGCGGTTTTGTACTTTAAACGACGATATGTACCTATATTAAGATCTTGCTTAACGCATCCTTTTAAGCTAATTAACACAATTTCGCTTATACCTATTTAAATAAAATGCTTTAATTTCACGCTTAAGTAGCGATTCTTAATACGTTTAGAAAACGTAATGCTTTCTACCATCTTTACTGAAAATCGATTTTTGAACGAAAAAAACTTTATAGGAAATATAAAATTTTGGCCTATTTAAAAAAGTATCCACATTTATACTGACCGGAAAAAATAAGTATCCCGCAAAAATTCGTCTAAAAATGTATCCAATTGGATCTATTTAGATCCAAACTGCATCCCTGATTTCCACTTCCTTAAGCTCAACTTCTTTAGCTTTTAATTTCAACTCTTTTTCTTTTTGCTCGAACTCTCTTTCTCTTGCAGCTACATCTGCCTCTAACTTTTGCATTCGCAATTTTACTATTTCGCCATGCATTTGCATAATGTCGGAAGCAACTGTTCTGGAGTATATTCCTCTTTGGCTAGTAGTGGTCGCAGTTTCATTCACAACAGGGATTTCGATTTGCACAGGACTTGCTACTTCAATGGTAGTATCAGCAGTTTCCATTATTTCTTCAACTACAGCGTTTAGCCGAGCGCCGAAAATATCGTCAAACTCGTAGAAATAGCGAAACTTTTTGAGCAGAACGCCTATAGAAAAAGTTGTATAATTATTTATGAACGGTAGGTTTTCAATTGAAGAAACAAACTCACTTCTTATAGTATCGCCATCCATGCAACCTGCGCCAGTACCTCCTTCCCATTCCTTCGCTTTATTATATGCAGAGCGCATATTTCTTACTTTTGAACGCGCTGATTTCCACTCCACCACAATTTGTTTTTCATTTGCAAAGCGATTATAAAATATCCGTCCCAATGGTTTCTGTAAATAATTAAGTAGTTAGCGGTTTCCATTTACCCTGAAAAATAACATAAAACCTCAAAATCACGATTCTCTTGAAGGAATTCAATCAGCGCTTTTTCTTCGGCAACTTCCCAGCGCTTTTGAGGGTTGTAGCGCTTGCTTATTTGACTATTAAAACACTGCAAATGGAAATGATCTCATTATTGCTATTCAAAAATGCCGTAAATATAATGATGTGTACACTCATGTTAAAATGAATAAACCTTTTCTTATGAACTATATTTTATTTATATACCAAAATATTGTTAAAAACACCTACTCTGGCGTTTTGAAGTATTATCTGATACTTACATTCATAATTTTGCTTTGAATAAAAATGTACTGAAAAGTACTCATTTTTTTAGCATGAAAAAGTCTAATGTACTGATTTCGCGCATAAAAAATCTGGCAACCCTATAATGGTCTGATTATGGCAACTTAACGTAACTTCCGGCTCTCTCTTTAAAATTCTGTTAAATGGGTGTTGCTTATAATTGAACAGCCGAAACTTAACGTAACTTCCGGCTCTCTCTTTAAAATTCTGTTAAATGGGTGTTGCTTATAATTGAACAGCCGAAACTTAACGTAACTTCCGGCTCTCTCTTTAAAATTCTGTTAAATGGGTGTTGCTTATAATTGAACAGCCGAAACTTAACGTAACTTAATGCCACTTCGAAATCTGTTTAATTTTGATTCTCTAAGTTCTACGTTCCGTTAAGTTAAGTTAAGTGGTGGAACAGTCGTTGAGTGCGGACGTACTTTTACTTAGCTCCGTCGTGTACTTCATATTTATGCATACATAAACATATGTAAATACTTTCGCGATGTCTTTTTGCTCTAATTGCGGCTCGCAGTGCGTGGGTTGTGATTTTGTTTCATGCGGAATTTGTTCGCAGAATTTTCATTTGAAATGCGCAAAGCTAAATTCCGCCAGCTTTAAATTCTTAAAACCTAACAAAAATCTGATGTTTAAATGTGATGCCTGCTGCTATGTGAACATCTCGTTTTGCTTGGCTAAGCTTGAGAATGCCATGTGTTCCATAAAGGAAATTAAGGCTGATTTTAGTGGAAAAAATCGCCAATAATTTGGAAAACCCGGAAAATCTCCTATCATCAAAAGTGGCTAACAACAACGCGAATAATAGTGTCGCAGCAGAAAATGTAAACTTCAGAGCTACCCGCTCAGGATCTAATGTCGCTGACCTCAGTAAATTGCTCTTGAACGTGAACTCTTCCACTTCTTTTGCTGCTACTACTGCATCTGATGGTATTGTTGGTGCTAACTCCCTCGCAGATGACAATGGTGTTTTTGCTGTTGGTCAACCAACTAGTCTGTGCTCTCCTGTTGAGCATGCAGATAACGTAAACAAAACTATTTCGCATACTTTTCGCCCTTCTTCACGGGCTGTGATAACTCGTCTTTACCTGCTGACAAAAACAATAACGCAGTAAGAGATGACAGTGAGATGACCGCTGTTGGTACTTTTACTTCTTCTTCTCAATCATCTTCTTTAACAGGTCTAATAAGGTCTGCGGTGGTAATAAAAAGTTTGTAACCGGTAAATAAAGTTCCTGTC